TTCGACTCTCGATCCGAACCGTGCAAGCTTCAACGTTCGACTGACTATTTTTTATAAAAGAAATCGCCTGAACATCCTCGCGTTTCCGAAAGTAACGGTCAGGAAAAATTCTATGCCTTTGTTTGTCAAAAACTGTTTAAACGAGAGGTACAGCTGTAGCTGGTTTATGATACGTACATGTCTACGGTAAGATTCGTTCGGGCCGGATGTGATAGACAATAAGGTCCCCGGTGACCCGTATTCCGAAGTAAAAACTATTGATGATGGCTTACGCGCCGAACCGCTTGGGCCCTGCAATAAATCGTTTAACCGCGGCAAAGGTTTCGGTTCGCGGCCGAACAAATACAAATAGATACATTTTTTACTAAGTTTGTACAATAATTTGTTAATCTAAAATTTATTTGTTATTAGTTATGTATCATCGTCGTCATCGTCTTGCAGGTCTTCTGGTAGCATTAACTTTTGTATCTCATCTTCGAAAATATTAAAACGGGAACGCGTTTTACAAATTTTTCTATTGTCTGGCGAAATGGAAGATATTAAAATATCGGATGTATATAGTAAGGTTTGGAAAAGGTCCGTTAATGTTTCCAGTCGTGAAAATTTTCGGGTGTGGTCCCTCCTGATATTTCGGAAATCTTTATTTCGTGCCTCTATAGCTTCTTCCGAAAACATCCCAATGGGCAATCCTGCACTTTGCATTATGTCTGCACCATGCAGTAGTATTTTATGCAAGCTCGATGGCATATAAAACCAATTGTATTCTGATAGATACAAATTAAACGTTGCCATTGCATATTGTTGAAATAAAACGGAGTCAATTTGCTTATAGCTCGATAAAGCCACTAAGATGACCCCAATTCTTTTGATGAGGTCTGCGTTTACACCTGTAATATTATTTATTATTGTATTATTTAACTACTTTGCTACTTACTACTTACTCTTTATTATAGAAGATAATGAAATACCTGTAATATTTGCCGTTGTAATATAATTTTGGAAAAATATTCTGGCCATATTTCCGGTATTCGTGGTACCGGAACCTGGCTTCGGGATGTCAACTAATATATGTAACTCCTCTTTTAATTTTTTTTGAATTATTTTCTTCCTTTCTTCATAGTGTACTTTATCGGTATTTCGTATTCGCCACTTTTTGATCTCCAAGCGATACGAAATATGCAAAATACACTCCATACATCTTATCCACGCATGTAAATTTGATATGCCATATTGGTAAAAGTCAATGTTTATGGGCAATGTTTTCAATATATTTATATTGTTCATAATTCGCGGTGTTGCCTTGCAAATTGAACAGGTCTAACCTGATGTTTCAGTAATTGCACTAAATGTTTTCCCTTCTATCATCGTTAATTTAAAGTGGTATTTTACATTAATATTCCTGTCGTGGAATTTGACAGTGAACACAGACAAATTTGAAATTTGTTCCTCTATTTTTTTAATCGACTTCGAAAAAGGAGGAGGTTACTCAATTCGATCAGTATATATATATATATCTAATAATTGATATATATATATATATATTTTTTTTTTTTTTCCCCCTATGTGTGCCCGCCGATTACGCCTAGCTGGATGTACCGATCGGAACGAAACCTTTTGCATCTGTTAGGTTCTGACTCCCCATTGGTACCATTATCAAAAAATTTTTCATTTTTTAATTGCAAAGTATTGTTATTGCAAAAAACCGGCAACTCTTGAAATAAACTTTTCTCGATTTTAGTGCGCTTTTAATATCTTATCACGGACATGATTCTGAACAATTTTGTTCATATACAAATTTCGCGGAAAGGTTTAGTTTTCGAGATATTAGCGAAAAATTGTTGAAAAGTTTTGAAATCAACTTTGGACGATTTTCATGTCCTTTTAATATGTTATCAAGGACACGATTCTGAACAACTTTTTCCTTATCCACAATTAAGGGGAAGCTTTAGTTTTCGAGTTATTAGCGAAAAACTATTGTTACTAATATATTGAATACTACGTATGC